TCTGCAAACGATGACAGACGGGAAAGAAAGTCTGATTTTGAGTGCTCAGAGGAAGAGAGAAGGACAAGAATGAGTTCTCTCAAGAAGAAAGCTCTGAGTGCGTCAACAAGATTCAAACACTCTCTCAAGAAAAAAAGCAAAAGAAGAAAGAATGATGGGCGGTGCAGCTCTGTCTCAATTGAGGACATCCGGGATGTTGAAGAGCTACGAGCAGTTGATGCATTTAGGCAATCATTAATTTTGGATGAGTTGTTAATGGAGCAGCATGATGATTATTATATGATGTTGAGGTAATATCCGTTCTGTCTAAATGCATCCAATTGTTTTTTGAGGCCTTCTAGTATATTGGTGAAGTCTTACGCTCGTAGTTAGCTATATTAATTGGGAAAAGGTGCAAATATGTTCTTTATCTTTGTCTTTAGGTGTTGATTGGCCCTTAAACGCTTTTTTTCGTTGTAAATATGTCTCTAATGCATCTCTTCTGGCACAAAAATAATGTTTTCTTTGAAGTTCATATTGGCCCAAATTCTAAAATAAAAGTTGTAAAAATTACGAAAAATAATTAAATTAATATATTGATTGTAAAAATGAAAACAAATAAAAAAATTGCTGCTTCAGGTTTCTGAAAGCAAGGAAGTTTGACATTGAGAAAGCAAAGAACATGTGGGCTGATATGATCCAGTGGAGGAAAGATTTTGGTGCTGATACACTTCTTCAGGTAATTGTCCCTATTAATGGAAGGATCTGCATCTACCCCTTTTTTATGTATGAAATGAAATATTTCCTTTCATTGATACTTTTCATCATAGAATATTTCATTTCATGAGCCTGTGTTTTTTCTTGAGCCGAGGGTCTTTCGCAAACAAAGCCTCTACCTTTATGGGTAAGGGTAAGATTTGTGTGTATCTACCCTCCACAAAGGCCCAAACCCCATTTGTGCGCCTTACTAGGTTGTTATTGATACTTTTCGTCAGGACTTCGAGTTCAAAGAGATAGATGAAGTTTTGAACTACTACCCACAAGGTTACCATGGGGTTGACAAGGAGGGAAGGCCTGTGTATATTGAAAGGCTCGGAAAAGTTGATCCTAACAAACTCATGCAAGTCACAACATTGGACCGTTACATAAAATACCACGTTAAAGAGTTTGAGAAAACCTTTGCTATCAAGTTTCCAGCTTGCACAATTGCTGCAAAGAGGCACATAGACTCTAGCACTACGATTCTGGATGTTCAAGGAGTGGTATGTTTCTGTTTCTTGTCTCTCTGAATCTGTGTAGAAGTTTTTTTTCTTGCACCAACTTCCACATTCTTTTGTGTGTGTGAATTTTTATTCAGGGTTTCAAAAACTTCAATAAGAATGCTCGGGAGCTCATTATGCAGTTGCAGAAGATTGATGGTGATAACTATCCTGAAGTATGTTCACTTCATGACTTTATAAGCTTGAATGTGGCATGCTCCAATTATTGTTAAGGGAATGAATCATAATACTTATACTTTCTTTGTTTTGATTTTGGTAGACACTCCATCAGATGTTTATCATCAATGCTGGTCAAGGATTCAAGTTGTTGTGGAATACAGTAAAAAGCTTTCTAGATCCCAAGACCACTTCCAAGATTCATGTATGCCCATTTGTTTTTAGCTCACAAAAAAGTATTTTGAATTGTCGATGTGCCATGCAATTTGCCTTTTCAACCTCGCAGCATAATTTTCTTTTCTACGTTTCTTCTCTTTTACAGGTTCTTGGGAACAAGTATCAAAACAAGTTGCTTGAAATAATAGATGCTAGGTGATTGAATTTGTTTAATTGCTTTACTTGTGCCTTCATTTTCAATAAGATCCCGTTTGGCAAGGCTTGAATTGAGAAAAGTAGCATTTGCTTAACTTGTTGAAAGTTATTGAATCTGCCGAGTTATATCTGTAAAGAAATTAGAGAAAATAATATTTAAAAAATGGCAGTACCAATTTAACCCATTTCAGACAAAAAAACTAAAAAACGATTCCTGCACTATTAGGTGTTTGGTGTAGTACATTGGTTGAGCATCTCCAAACATGCTTGCTATATTGATTTGCTATTTTTAAATTTTAGCAAGTGAATTGTGATATAGCAAGCAACTTTTTGTTCCATTCTCCAACCATGGCTTGCTTATGAATTATAAAACTCTTGATTTGCTATAATTTCGAGAGCTTGCTATATTAAGCAAGCCAATCTCATTTTTTGGCAAGCTTGCTAAAATATAGCACACCCATTGGAGAAGAGAAAAGGGGGTTTGTTTGTTGTATTATAGTAGGTTTTCGCATCCTAAAATGGGATGGTTGGAGATGCTCTATGCCAAAACTAAAGCCTGCCAAACGGGGCATAAATCTCCATTTTCATTAAAGAAGACTATTCACTCACCTCTAACTACTTGTGTACACAGTGAGTTGCCAGAGTTTCTAGGTGGAACCTGCACTTGCTCAGATCAAGGAGGTTGCCTTCGTTCTGATAAAGGACCATGGAAAAATCCAGCAATATTAAAGGTGTCACAGCACATGTTCTGCCCTTCTTTCATCTTCCCCTCCCAGTTTATGCTTTTTGTAACACAATAAAATGATATCAAAATCTCTGCGTGCTGCCTGCAGATGGTTGGTGAAGCACGGCGTTTCAAGCAGGTTCTTAAAGTTCTAAACACTGAAGGAAAGGTAATCTACGCAAAACCCCGTTTCCCAATGGTGCGTCTTCTTCTACCCTCTATCCTCTACTTTTATATACATTGTGCTTCATGAATTATTATTAAAATTACTACTACTTTTGGTGCACCTAATAACTCTTCACCAGGTAAAAGGCAGTGACACATCTGCAGAGTCGGGCTCTGAAGCTGAAGATGTTGTTTCACCAAAAGCTATGAAGAGTTTCTCATATCCACAACTCACTCCTGTTCATGAAGAGGTAGTTTTCTGCCCAATTGATGATTTGAGCAATCAGGATAGTTGTTCAGTAATTTTATCTTCTTCATTTTATAACATGCTGTCTTGCCCATGCCAAGAAACAGGCAAGAGCTCCTGGGACAGGCAGCTACATGAAAAACTCCTCAGGACATGATGAATATCTTCCCGTGGTTGACAAGGTTGTCGATTCTTGTTGGAAGAAAGACACATATCTTCAGAATCCCTATTTTCCTAAAGGTGTAAACATGGAACATAAAGATGATCGTTTGCATGCGGAAAAAGCTCCAGATGGACTATACGCACGGGTTTTAGGAGCTCTTTTGACTTTCTTCATGGCGGTTTTCATGCTTCTTCGCACGGTTTTCTTTGGTGCTCCAAAAAAACTTCCGGAACCATCCTCCTCCCAACAGGACCAAACTTTAGCACTTGCTAAGGAAGAGCTCCGGCCTCCTTCACCAACTCCAGCATATACACAAGATGAACTTCTCTCTGCTGTGCTCAAGAAGTTGGGTGAACTGGAAGAGAAAGTAGTTGCCATTCAAGAAAAGCCATCGGAGATGCCAAACGAGAAAGAGGAGTTGCTAAATGCTGCTGTCTGCCGAGTGGATGCCTTAGAAGCCGAACTGATTGCTACCAAGAAGGTAATTAAATACTGGTTTATAGGTATATTATAAACACCAATTGTTACGTTGTACGAAGACTTTCTTTTAGAATCTTATTTGGTTCCTTCCCTTCTTTTTTTCTGGTTGAACAGGCTTTATATGAGGCTTTGATGAGGCAAGAGGAACTTCTTGCCTACATTGATAGACAAGAAGATGCCAAGTATAGGGTGGGTATCTATCTATGATTATCTTTGTATTGCATTTTTGTTTACAATGAAATTTTTACAATTCCCCCTTTTTTTTGCAGAAAAAGAAGTTTTGCTTCTAAGGTCCTCGGTCGTGGCCCTCGTGCAGCTTGGTGTGTTTAACAATACATTGGATTGAGATTTATACTGTATTTTGTCTGTTTGATTTTTTATATGACGATTTGACCTTGTAATTGCACCGATACATACCGTACCATATTACCATACCATACTATACCATTGTGAAACAAAATGTACTGAATTTGTGTGATGTATACAAAGAATAAATATGTACCGAATGTGTTATGCTTGCGTTCTTGTGTTGTGTGTGAGGTCTTTTTGAATTGAAAGAACAATAAAATTGGCCAATCTATTGTCCACAAAATAAGTTGTGCACTACTCCAATTGAAATTACTTCATGTTTTCCTGGGGATTTTTTCAAAATAATTTGTTTGATGTTAAATATAATGTTTTACCATCAATAATAAAAAAGATAAATATGGTCCAAGAAAATATTTTTGTCAAATCAAATGGACCCTTAAGTGTGCACTTTACAAATTATATACGGAATGTTAAGATTTTTAAATAATTATAGCACATGTATGATAAAATACACATTTAGGACTTGTTTCTCTTCACGTAATGTGATTGATTATATTTTGATATGATTGGAATAAGTTTTGATTTGGCATGATCTAATCGTAATTATATTCAAAGCTTTTCTAATCGGTCTCAACTGATGCGAATAAGAATAAATTGTAGAGAACAAGCTCTTAATTCTAGAACTAGACATATTTTCCCTATTGATTTGCTATTGAGCTTTTTTATAAGAAACTATTCGTTACAGTGGGGATATCATGATTCAATTGATTCATTTGTGTATTACATGTCAAACCCTGAATGAGTTACGTTAAAATTAAATAAACAATACTCTATATTTTATTTTGAGTCTTACGTAGAATGTGATGTCGAGAAAAATACATGAAAGATAATAAAAATTTCTTTGTTTTCACGAGGGTTACATAAATGAAAGCAAAATGAGTTAAAGACCTGATAGGACGATGAAAAGTTTGAAGAGTTATAAACAAAAGAATGATCAATAGCAAATTTGTGTTTCAAGACCATTACCATTATAAGACTTAAGAGTTTAGATGGATTAAGAATGGATTGTGTGCTTGATCTAGAGAAAGACTTAAGAGTTTAGACTCTGTAGTCTGTATAACATATACAACACAGGTATAGTGTTACAAATGTTTACATGAGCAAAATCATTCTTGTCTGAAGGCATATATGATGTAAACATTTATACAAAGCTTTAACAATAATAAACATAAACAAACAACATTGAAACAAGCCAAGGGGTGAATGCCACAGTATGCATGTCCCCTAGGTATCTAAATTTGGTTGTTTCCTATACACATATACATACATTAATTATCTTCATGCATTCTCTCTTAAACAGTTCAAAAGCCAAAGAACTTCTTTTTCTTTTTCATCTTCTCAAGGTAGGCCATGATCTCACTTTGATGGCTAAGAGCATCCTCAAGAGCCTTGTTGGTCGCGGCAAGTTGTTGCTCCAACACGTCGACGCGATTCAAAGCGCTGGCGAGCTGGTCCTCCTTGTCGAGTGGCATCGTGGGTGGTTTCTTGCTGAGAGTGATCACTTTCTCCTCCAACTCGGCCATGCGTTTCATCATGTTCAAATACTCTGTGACAGAGATAGAAGCAGGTTGTTCGTTGTAGAAGTGAGGGTTCCCCCCTCCCTTACTCATCCCATCGCGCATTGACCCGGAATAGAAGGTCGCGTCGGTGAGCTTGCTCGGCATGTTTCGCGACATTCGGACCATCGTCACAACTCCCATCACAAAGGTCATCATGCTTGAGAAGAGTTGGTTCCCTTTGTCTGATGATGGCTTGCACGCATCATGTGCGGTGTAATAATCTGCCACTGAAATTTATGGGTGGATATTGTTAGAGTATAAAACCTTTCTCGGGCATACACTCAGAAACTTAGCTTTTGGTTGAGAAGATTCCTTAACATGGGTATCAAGGACTTGTTAAACCTGAAGGGAGTACCTTTTGCAACACTGAAGTTGTCACCCTTTAGTGAACTTACTGCCTTAGACCAGCTTGGGTGAACATTCTTTTCCACAGTGGGGATGTACTCATTCTGTTGGCACACCTGCACATTAGCAAACTATGATAATATACCAACATCGCGGTTCTTTTGTCACTGGACTCCAGTGTCAATTTTTACACTAGAGTGACTAGACCCCTACAGCCTACGGTGTTTCGTTGGGCACGGTGGTTCCTACCCCTAATCCCTCAAACTCCCTAACCCCCGCCCAGTGTAGCCAATCAGCAAATGTGGGGTTGGGGTTTTGAGGGGTTAGGAGTTACTTCCGGAGTCAACAGACAACCTTACTGAATGAGTTTTGAAATAGCAACTCACTTCCTCTTGAACAGATGAGAGCTTCTTTGCCGAGTCCAACGCAAAAGAAGGGGTTTTCTTAGCACTGGTGGCGCTCTCACACTCGGTGATAGTTTTCTCTTCCACCAGAGTTGGAACACCCATCTTGTTCGAGCACTTGTGATCCCCATTTCGAACCATCTGAAACAATTCTCACATTTTTTACTACAATTTTTTTTCATGGGATCAATGGGAGTAAAGTAAAGATGAAATGACCTTCATGATTTCAGGGTCATTCCATGGGCCTTTGTCCGAGATCATACACCCTCCCTTGTCTGCGCACGTGCAGGTGCCACCGAAGAACTCTGGAAGTTCACTGCCTCAAAATGTTAAATGTTTTGAGGATGTTTCTCATGTTTGAATTCTTATTTAGATCAATAAACATACAACAATAGTAATGCTAGCTGCTACCTGGCATCAATGATTTCAAGCAACTTGCTCTGGTACTTGTTGCCGAGAACCTTAATTTGGGACGAAGAGAGTATTTGTTACTAGTTATTATTCCACATAAAAAAGAATATGTGTTACATATTACATTGGATTTCATATGAAGCTCCTACTCACATTAATCTTAGCAGTGGTCTTGGGATCAAGGAAGGACTTGACTGTGTTCCACAAGAGCCTAAATCCTGAACCAGCATTGATGATGTACATCCGGCACAATGTCTACACAGTAAAAGTAGATAAATAGTTACATTGGTCTACTTTTATAAAGGAAGGTGGGTAAAATTTGACTCAAAAAGTCAAACCGTAAAGAATCTTTTTGGGACGAAGGAAGTATATATATACCCACCTCAGGGTAGTTGTCACCATCAACCTTTTGAATGGCCTGGATGAGCTCCCTAGCTGATTTGGTGAAGTTTTTCAGACCCTAATATATTTCAAAGCAGATAAAGCATTTGGCTACTCATATATACTGTTGTTGAACTAATTGCGAGATTTCATCCCAAAACCAATTGACAATTACATTCAGGCATTCAGGCCAGGAAGATGAATCTGAATACAGTATATGATTTGACATACCACTCCTTGGACATCAAGAATAGTTGTGCTCTGGTCAATGTGGCGTTTGGAAGCTATAGAACAGGCGGGCATTTTATCGTTGTTGGTCCTCTCAAACTCCTGGACGTGGTACTTCATGTAGCGCTCCATGGTGGTAACTTGCATCAGCTTGGTGGCATCAACTTGACCCAACCTTTCTATATACACCGGCCTACCATCCTTGTCCACCCCGTGATGCCCTTGAGGGTAGTATTTCAGCACCTCTTCCTTCTCCTTGAAATCAAAGTCCTAACAACAACCATAACAGTGTACGCTATCCTTAAGCAAAAAACCAGCTCAACTAGAATGTTTTTATACTCTAATATGTTCGCAATCAACGATCCTTAAGTCCTTAAGCAATAATACCTCCATGATTGTGTCAGCACCAAATTCTTTCCTCCATTGCAACATATCCGACCACATTTGTTTGGATTTTTCCACATCAAATTTCCTGGCCTTCAAAAACCTGCATCATCATCATAACCATATATGGTTCAATATTTTTTTAAGCGCTAAGGAATCAACTTAATTTAAAACTCAAGCTTGTGGTTCTAGGTCTAGGAAATGTTCTATACTCTAAGGGATCTGACCTCAACATCAAATGATAATCGTCGTGTTTGGAGGGGAGCAATTCGTCGAGGATGAGGGCTTGGCGGAAGGCATCAACGGCCTTGACTTCCTCGGCGTCGTGCTCGTCCTCCATTATCACAACAGAAAACACCCTGCTGTTTCTCCTCCCCTTCTTGGTCAGGGAATTCCTGAACTTGTTGGAGGCATTAATGGCCTTCTTCTTGAGCGACTCGAGCCTCCTCGTCTGCTTTTCGTCCATCTCAATTCTCTCCATACTGCCTGTCAATTATCCATTCATACATAAACACCCAGAGATCATAAACATATGATTCAATCATAATCAGAAAAAAACAAAAGATAAAATAAGAAAGAAAGATTATAACTTGGCCTGAGGGGTGGTTCGTGAAGCCCCAACACATTGCCACTCATGACAGACAGCAATAATAATGCTTGATGATGATTAATAAGGCTGGGTTATGTTTTGATAAATGGAAAGGAACACATACATATACCTATACATGTATCATGTATGAATGTGTGTGTGTATGCATATACACAATATAGAGGTATAGGGACTGTATGTGTATGGTATATAATGGGAGATTATTAGATTATGATGCAGGGGAAAAAATAAATGGGAGGAGGGCTTAGGAAAGGAAGAAGATGATGGCTTAAAAGGGCCACCCAATTTCTCCTCAACAAAATGCGGCTTCCCAATAACACATACCTGTGGATGCCCTATTTTTGTTCAACTCCATTCGCCTCCATCTCATTTCTTAATAAAACAATCCATCAATCAATTACTTGGATCCTCCATTGTTATTTCATTGTTTTACCGATTTACGGAAAAAAACCCTAATCTCACTCACCGCCGTATTTACTTCTTTGAGCTCAACACCGGTGGCGCCCTCCGCCGCACTTGCTGGGAGAGAGAGCCTATTAACCTCTTCTGTGACTTCAATCATCAGCTCATCTTTGTTCCGGTATTGGAGCATTCTGGAGGTTGCCGGGCATTCGCGGCGGCACCGGATGGTTATGAGAGCCGGCGGCGACGTTTCTACACTCGGTCAGCGTCATAGTCGGTACCTCAACTCCCGTTTTTAACAGTGTTTTTAACATTATATTTTGACATTATAAGCTTATTTTATGATACTCGTTCAGTCCTTTAATGTTCTTCCCACTCACTTTTTACACGGTCAAATTTTCACTTTCTTTACTAATTTTCATTAGGTATTTGATAAAATAATATAATCTTGTCATCACTTGTTTTGTAGAACTTTTGATGTAGTTTTTAAATATATAAATTTTATTTTTTAATTTTACACCTACAATCAAATAATTTGAATTGAAAATAAAGTCGGTCAAACTTCGTAAAATGAACCGGGAAGAACATTATAGGACGGAGGGAGTAAATTTTAGTGAAATTTATAGTGAATATGACTAAAATATAATTCATTTTTCAATGTAGGACTTAAATTTTTTTTATTTACTAAAAAGGATTTAATAATGACTAGTGAGAAGAGTAATGTCCAAGTGATACATGACATTTATTAGTTGAATAATGACTACTAGATAATGACCAATGGTCCTACATTGGAAAATAAAAACATATGGTCATATATTAATAAAGTCATTATATTTTAGTCCTATTTGGGTAAATTACTCTAAATTTTATATATTTAAAAATTTTATCAAAAAAATCTACAAAACAAAAAATAATATGGTTATGTTATTTTATTCTTTGAGTCACGAAAAAAGTAAATGGTATGATTAAAGTTTAACCATATAAATACTAAATAAGCAACTTAAATTACGATTAAAAGAAAAAATAAATACATAGTTCATGAATTTTTGGTAAATATAACTAAAATAAATATATATTCATTTCCAAATTAGATTTACATTTTTTCATTCAAAATAAAAATACATATATTTTCATGATAATGCTAATGGTATTGAAGATTCTAGTTTCGAACCATTCAATAGTCTCTACCACTAATCCACTATTGATGCATTCTTCTTTTCATGTGGCATTCTTCTTGATCAATATACATATTCATTGGTTGTGACTTGTGTGACCAAAGAAAGTAGCAGTAATAAACAATTAGAAGGGCGCATGTCCTTAGGGGTGCCCTTAAATATTAGGGCAACTATTTTCCACAGGAAACAAAAGCTGAAAACTCCTCTTCCCTTAACAACCTCTGCTGCCTGGCTATGAAGTCCTCCACCTTCTTCCTAAACTCTTCGCTGCTCATTTCATCCGCCCCTCCGCCGCCTTTCTCCTCCGTTTCCCGGCACTTCACCGTCGTCGCCGAACGCCTCAGCTCCCTGCCACTCTCCGCCGGACCGGCGCCCATGCTCCAGCCCTCCGACCGGCTCCTGTTCATTCTCCGGCGCTTCCCCGGAGTTTCTTCCTCTCCTTCTTCTTCCCCTGAAACAGAGGTGCTCTGCCTCCCCTGTTTCATGACGCACTTCGCCGGGGAAACTCCATCTTCTTCCTCTGGAACAGAGATGCTCTGTTCTCCCGAACAAGAAGAACCCTTTGATTTGCGGTACAGGACGATGACTATGGCGTTCCCGACGACGAACAAGAACCGGGGACTGATCAGGTGACCCAAGATTCCCCTGAGATCGACCACGGGGAGCTTGAAATCCCGAGGAAACCGGAGGGAGAATCTGGAGAACATGAACACGAGGAAGCAGAACTCGACGAACCGGAACACGGCCGTTGCTTTCTGCATCCTCCGGTACCTGTTCATGGCTTTCACCTTCTCCGCCTTGATGTTCTCAAAGCTGTACAAATCCATTACAGAGGCAAAGAACTGAAAATGATGGGCTTCATTCGAAAGAGTGGATTTGGATTAAAACCATAACTCAGAGAAAACAGAGTTCTAAAAAAAATTGGAGAACAAAAAACAGAGTGTGTGGGTAAAGATTTACAGATGTTTTTTTTTTTAAATTTTTATGGGAGGGGTGGAGAAGGAAAACAGGGTATATATACTCCCCTGAGGACAGGGAGAAGTAGAAAGTGTCACTTAATTATCCGAATATAAAAATGCATAGGGCCACTTTAGAGATAACGCTAGTGATTAACGTTAACGTTTTGGATAAATGTTTAATCATGTAGATTACTTTAAAATGTTAATACTAAAAACTGCATGTATGTAGCTTTTTCAAAGCACTAATGTTAATCTCTAGCGTTATTTCCACAGACTCATAGTCACTCCCTCCTCCATAGATTAAGCTTCATGAAATTAAAAAGAAAATTTGAAATTGCGTGAGAAATCCACTCCATTTAAAAAGAAATTATTCGGAAACAAGACGTTTAAGTATTAGCATAATTACTTCTGGTTGAAGAATAATTCCTTGAGGCATTCCTTTCCACTTCGGAAACAAACCAGAAGAATCTTGTGTAGGGCTGCTCTGTTTATTTACCTCTTACGTACAAGTCATGGGGATTTGATTGATGGAATATATTGAATAAATCAATTCCAACTAAAATAAATAAATTAAAGGACATTGTTTCATTTAGATTGAATTTATTTTAAATTGATGTTGTATTAGAAATGAAAATTTCACAAAAAAAAAAAATAACTTCCCGCAACATTCATTAAAGAATTAATTATTGCATAATACGCATTTATTCAGGATTAAAATGATTGTTGTTATTATTATTATTGAACGCAAAATAATTTTAATTTTTTTAAAAAATAATTTTAAGATGAACCGAAAAAAGAAAAAAGAAAAAGGTAAACAAGGAGTGGGAGAAAGAATGGAAAAGAGTGCTTTTTGATGCATGCATGCATACGCAGCAAGGTAAGGTACACATGGAAGGGTGATGGCATTTGATGCTGGGAACAATCCATATCATATCATTCTCTTACATACCATCCATCCATCTAAACTTATGGTTCAAATGATTTTAAGATTATTTGGATTCAGATATTTAATTTGATATCTCTTGAATTTGATTATGGGATATTCATATCTTGATATTTTTAGGGAGAAAGACCAAAGTAGAACTAAAACATTGAAAATATATCAAAATAAGATTTTCATGTTTTTATTCCCGAAATAGGACTTACATTACCAAACATGGTCATGTACATTACCAAAAAAGTATATTAATGTGCACATGTACAATGTCACATTACTACAGTGCAAAGTCCTATTTTGGGGGGAAAAAACATGAAAGTCCTATTTTGGTATTTTTCCCTATGTTTTTGCTCTTTTTAGAGTGATTTCTAATATTTTTAATATGATATCTCTTTAATTCAATTATCAGTCATTCACTATATCTAGACAAAATTAACCACCACAATCTTCGTTGTCGATCATCACTGTCATCCACCGTCATCATCGATAACCATTAATTCTCGTCGGTTTGTCACAACCACTTATGTGAAGAATAGTGCCACAAATGCCACTTTGTCTCATCAATTATACTAATACCGATTTTAAATATTGGTATTAACATAAATTTATTACGCATTTTTTAATGTTAATTTTTGTATTAGTGTAAATTTTTCATTTTTAAAAAATCATATATACAGAGTAATGGATTATGTGTGTGTGTGTGTGTTTGAGTACCTCATAAATATTAATAGAGGGCTTCCATGCAAGCCCACAAAGCCCGTACTATATAGGCCTTTAAAATACGTGGTAGTTCAGAGGATGAGACGACTTCTTCTAGTTGGGACCAAAACTCGGAGGCGACTTTTATGTTCAGTTTTGATTTTTTCAATCAATAATTTTTAATTTTTGACTTATAATTAAATAAAGGATCCGTTTGGTATACGGAATTGATAGAATTGAAATTGAATTGGAATTGAAATTCCATGAGATTCAATTCCATAGAATTGAATTCATCAATTTTAATTTATTTTTTGTACTACCAATTCTAAATCCACATAATTTTTGTGCTATCAAACACCAGAATTGGAATTCAATTACAATTCCATAATTTGAATTCCGTATACCAAACGGGGCCAAAGTGTATATTGTATATTAATTGAATTTAAAAATGAGTAGTGAGTAAATAATGATTAGTTGGGGCCTTTTCTAATTGGATATGATCTGATCTGATCTAAATTCAAATTCAAATTAAACTTAAAATTATTACCTTAATCTTATAACTTTTAAAAAAATGTAATGATCATTCATATTATAATACAATGAATAACTTTTATTCTAGAATTATTAGATTTATGAAATAGAAATAATCAATTCATTTATACATTAGAATAAAAATAGTTGACAATAATTGAAAAACTTTAATCATTTATATTTTAATATTCAATACAGAGAAGATAGATGATTATTATTATTATTATTATTACTATTTTTAAAGTATCCAATGATTAGAAAATATGAATGTTATGCCAAAAAAATTATATTTTTTCTACATCTTACATAATAAATTTATGTTATAAAATATGAATATAAATCTTTATGTAACAAAATCTTACATTTTTTTCTAAATTTAAAACAAAAATAGAAATTTATGTGTATAATTGTCACAATCACTACATTCGAATTCTAGTTGCATGATACCTTGTGTTTGGTATGGGAACCAAAACTTTGATTCAAAAAAGTTATGACTCCACTACACGCGGTTATATCATGAGCATTACCTTCAAATCTGACATTATTATTATGTCATAATAATAATAATAGTAATAACAACAACAACAATAAGTGAGGGTGGGTTTACCATTTTCTTGACTAGACATGTTCCTCCATGACTCCATTAATCTCTTCCAACAAGTTGATAAGAATAATAGGTTGGAATAATAATAATAATAATAATAATAATAATAATAATAATAATAATAATAATAATAATAATAATAATAATAATAATAATAAAATGATTCAAATTGGATCTGATCTGATTTAGTTCTAATAAGAATACATAATAAGCAGAATAATAAGGGGCTGTTTGTTTCAGCCTCTTAATGGTTCAGATGTCTGAATGATTCAGCACTTAATGGTTCAGACTGTTTGTTTCAGCCTCTTAATAGTTCAGATGTCTGAATGGTTAAGAGATTTGCCTCTGAATGGTTAAGTATTATACAGAGTCTGAATGGTTAAGACCTCTTATCTGAATTGATCAGACATTTACCTCTGAATAGTTAAGTAATATACTAGCTCTTAATGGTTCAGACCTCTTACTAGTTCAGCACTTAATGGTTCAGATCTCTTACTGATTCAGCACTTACATATTCAGAAGTTGCCAAACAGCCCCTAAATTGAATAGAATACTGCCTAAATAGACATCTTAAATGTGTCCGACTATATATGCCCATACTCTTCACTTAATTTACTCATTTCACACTCATTAATATAGATTTGATATTAACATCATTTAACAAAAATTAAGTGAAAAATATAGAAATAGACATTTAGTCTTTGTTTGGATAGTGTGAAGTTGGTAAGAAAGAAAAAATGAGCGAGAAAATACAAATATCAAGAAGTTTTTCATGCCTGTTTGAATGAGAAAATGGAAGGGGAAAAAAATGAGTTAGTTAGGTGTCAAGACATAAACTTTTCTGGGCTAAAAAGGCGAGAAAACACACCAACAGAGAAAAAACATGTCCAAAATTACTGAATTACCAATTTCCCTCTCTTTTCTCACCATTTTCTCATCATTTTTGACCATTCACACACTAAATCGTTTCTCTTCATTTTCTCGTCATTTTCTCTCATATTATTTTCATTCCTCTTATTTTCTTCCTTTGTCCAAACAAAGTGTTAAAAATGCATTCATATTTAGGCTTTAGCATCACTATGAATAAAAATCACATGCAGTAATTAATAAATCACTCAATAATCACGTGGGAGCATTGTATCTACACCACAAAGTACAAACTTACAAACCCGGAACGACCATCTTCACCTTCCTTTTTCTTTTGTTGTGCCTAATTGCCCCGATTTTGTTTTGCTTTCCTTAATCTGATTATGTACAAAAACTACAAAAGTGAAAACTGTTTAGTTCATACTCCGTGTATTTATGCACAAAATTAAAAGACAATGACTTCTCGTGAATTCTAGAAGGTGGGTTTCCTATATACTTGGTCCGTCCCTGAGTGTTTATCCATTTTTGACTTTTGGAACTGTTCATCTAAGCACTTTGACTCATCAAATTCTCTCAATATGTAAGCCTAAAAATAGTCATGTGTGATCTTGTTTGATTCGTCTTAACATATAGATTATTAATATATAATTTTTATAATTTTTTAATATACAAATTACAAGATAAAATGGATTAAAGAAGTGCATTAGATTGTGTGCAAAAATGAAAGTGGACAAACACTTAGAGACGGAGAGAGTATCTTTTAACTCATGTGATGAAAAGTTCCAATTTTTTAAATATATTTATAAGTACACATATTAACGATAAATTGTAGTATATTGTCAGTTTTGTCACTCGTTCATATCAAGGTAAAATACTTTTTGAAAAATAATATCGGTAGGCGTTGCACAGTTGGCAAGGCAAGGAGTTCCAAGGGGGTAAAACTCAATTTCGATTCCTGTCTGCAAGTACCAGATGCAGGTTTTACTCTTTGTTACCAATCTACGATTAAAGTCTAATATATATCTTCTCGCTGAACGTCCGGTCGGATCTGAGTGAGTCCTCAGTAATGGGGCTCATCCTTTTTCTTTCTTTTTTTTTTGAAAAATAATGCATGGTATGGACTATAGAGGATTGTGTTTGTAGGGACAGATATACTAAGGGGGGTACGCCGTACAATACATTACTTTCCCGAACATTAATTAATTAATTAGGTATAGGGTATGTGCCCTCCAATCTTCTTCTTCTTCATTCATAGTATCATATCAGACGACGAAAGGGATGGATGGGTCACCATTATAACATTATTAGTGTCTCCCTCCCACATCTTCCTTTTCATTGCGCAAAACAAAAAAAAAATCAAATTTTTTTAATATATTTTATTTAAATATTGGTATAGAAATAAAAAATAAAATTTATATATTTAAAAATTATAATAGGTCAACACAACATGCAATGACAAAAATATTTTATTATATGATATCCAT